ACAATCATTAGAGTGAACAGACAACCTACAGAATATATAAATAACTCAGGCAAATTAGCAAGAAAAAAAAATCAAACCCTATTAAAAAGTGGGTAAAGGACAGGAACAGAAACTTTTCAAAAGAAGACAGACTAATGACCAATAAACATATGAAAAAATGCTCAACATCTCTAATGATCAAGGAAATGCAAATCAAAACCACAATGAAATATCACTTAACTCCAGTGTGAACGGTTTTTAGTAAAAAGTCCCAAAACAACAAATGTTGGCATGGATGTGGTGAGATAGGAACACTTATACACTGTTGTTGGGAATATAAACCAGTACAATCTCTCTGGACAGTAATATGGAGACACCTTAACTAAAAGTAAAACTATCATTTGATCCAGCAGTGCCACTATCCAGCAATACCACTGGGTATTTACCTAAAGGATAAAAAGACATTCTATGAAAAAAAAAAAGATATCTGCACTTGAATGTTTATAGCAGCAGAATTTACAATTGCAAAGATGTGGAAACTACCCGAGGGCCTACTGATACATGAGTGGATTAATCAAATGTGGTATATGTATGCCATGGAGTATTACTCAGCTAATATAAAAAAAATGGTGAAGTAATATCTCTTCTATTATCCTAGGGGGAGCCGGAGCCCATTCTTTTAAGTGAAGTATCACAAGAATGGAAAAAACAAACACCACGTGCACTCGCCATTAAATTGGTACTAATTGATCAACACTTATGTGCACATATGGAAGTAACATTCACTGGGGATTGGGCAGGTGGGAGGGGGAGGAGGGGATGGGTAAATTCACACCTAATGGATGTTGTGTGCACTATCTGTGGTATGGGCATGCTTGTAGCTTTGACTCAGGTGATGCAAAGGCAATTACGTGAGCAAAGCATTTGTACCCCCCTGATATTCTGAAATAAAAAGATTACTGATAACTTTCATTATAACTGAAGACTATTTCAGCTGTTTCCCTTTTCAAAATACATCCTGTTTTATGTCTGTCATTTGTTTCAAAATAATCCAATGTGGGAGAAGAGAGAGAGGGAAGGTACATAATAGTGGTCGTAAGTTAACGATGTGGTAGTTGAGTGATGGGCAGATGAGTCTTCTTTGTGCTATTTATGCTGCCTACTTTTGTGGACGTTTACAACGTTTTATAATAAAAAGACTTTTAAAAAACATATCCCTGTCAAATCAAAGTAAATGTAAACTTAAATGGCTAGCCCCAACTCAAATAAAAGGCAAGTGGGAAAGATGTGGCTGTATTAGATGTCCCTAGGAAGTATCAGTTACATTCTAGCTTACCTTTAAAAACTTGTCAAAGAAATCTACAATAAATTTTTTTGGCAACTTAAGGTCCAAGGGCCTTAAAGTCTTATAGCTAGTCTATATAGCTAGATTACCCTCCAAAAATCAAAACTTTTAACAATTATGGAAAAAGAGGATCCAATTCTGTCTTTAATTTTACCAAATAACATTGTCAGAGAGAAATTGGATAATTAAAGTATTTTTATGTTTTGAATGTTTCCTATTCCTCTGGAATCAGTGGTTCAAATTTCCCTCATAGCCCAATGTAAAAACCTTCAGGCTACAACATAACACAGCATCTGCCACAGCCAGATCCACTGTGAGGCAAGGCATGATTTACCACAACGAAGGACATCATATAAGTAAGCCCCAAACTTGCAAAACCCAATGAGACAAAAGGCAAAAACAGGAAACATGATCAGGGGCTGCCAGGTTGATGCAATTTTGGTGTTTCTGAGGGAATGAGAGAACCTATGAGAAAGGCTTTCCAGGTGAGAGGGAAGGTGAACTTTGAAGAAACTCTTACATGTTACTTGTAAAAGCATAAACATGAATTAAAAATGACATGGGGAGTAATAAATCTTCTGTCTAGTAAAGCTGTTTCCTCCACTACATTTTGTCAAAAATAGCCAGGTGCTAGGAAAATAAAGAACTGCAACATGGTAGGAAGGGAGGGAAAACCACTCCCTCTCTTTTCTCTTTCCTGGTGGGTGGCAACATGAGCAGAAGGAGGATTTCTGCTTTCAGCCACCAAGCTGACCAATTGCAGTTCAACGGCAATCGGTTCTAATAGACTCATACTGTGACCAGAAAAAGCATTCTCCCTAGAGCTATAGGGCATGGGAAGGCTTCCCAGGCTAGAAGACAAATAACCACTGTTATTAATATGCACACTGGGAACTGCATTTTAATAAAAGTAGTCATGAGCCAAGATGAGAGATAATTTGCAAATGTTGTCCAAAAGACTCTAGCTGAGCTTGCAAATAGATCACATTAATCTTCCTTGCACACCTTATCAAAGAAAAATACATTAGACATAATATATTCTAACCAAGGATAATTTGTTAATTCAGTGCCCAAATTGGTACTAGACAATACAAATGCCTTCATTTTCTGAGGCAGAGCTGTTCTTTAAAAAAAAAAAAAACCAGTTCTCAGTCTGGGATACATTACTAGTGTGAGATATTTAACAGTTAAAACCCTGAGAGCCTCTGCTCTTGCTACTGCCTTTATCTTGCCACACTGGACCTATACTGGGACAACCTTTTCAGCCGGGGCAGAGGGGACATGTCCACCTTGTCCCAGGGCAAGCCTAAGTTGGCAGCAGGATAGGCTGCCCACGGACCAAATTCCTAGACAGTCTGTCTTCCTTTTCTTTAGGAGAAATGAAATCCATAATTTCTGTCCCAGCCTCGGATAGAACAGAAGGATGCCACGATTGGATGCAGGTTAGGCAGCCTTCACAATTCCTGCATCAGAAATTCTGGATAACCTGTTAACAATGCAAAGAAAATAGCTTCACTAGGTTGTCCTAATGTTGAAGTGCTGGAGTTAAGACTAATTTATTTTTATTTTTTTAATTCAGGATATTATGGGGGTACAAACATTTTGGTTACATGTAATGCGTTTGCCCTGCCTGAGCCAGGGCTACAAGCATGTTCCTCCCCCATACAGGGCATTCTGCTTCCACTAGTTGGGGGTTTACGCCTCCCAACCCGACTGGCACCCAATGAGTATTACTACCGTGTGAACACATTAGTGTTGGTCAATTAGTACCAATTTGATGTGGTGCATGTTTTTCCATCCTTGTGATACCTCACTTCAAAGGATGGGCTCAATCTCTATCCAGGATAATGTAAGAGGTGCTAGATCACCATTGTTTTTTATAGTTGAGTAGTATTCCATGGTATACATATACCACATATTATTAATTTACTCATGTATTGATGGGCACTTGGGTTGTTTCAACATTCGAGTGCAGATGTCTTTATTATAGAATGTCTTTTTTTCCTTTGTTTAGATGGCTAGTAGTGGGATTGATGGATCAAATGGTATTTCTATTTTTAACTTTTTGTGGTATCTTCATATTACTTTCCACAGGGGTTGTACTAATTTGCAGTCCCACCAGCAATGTAAGAGTGTTCCGGTCTCTCCACATCCATGCCAGCATTTGTTGTTTTGGGACTTTTTGATAAAGGCCATTCTCACCGGGGTTAGGTGATACCTCATTGTGGTTTTGATTTGCATTTCCCTAACGATTAGAGATGTCGAGCATTTTTTTATGTTTGCTGGCCATTAGTCTGTCTTCTTTTGAAAAATTTCTGTTCATGTCCTTTGCCCATTTATTGATGGGGTTGTTTGATTTTTTCTTGTTGATTTTCTTAAGTTCTGCATAGATTCTTGTTATCAGCCCTTATCGGATGTGTAGAAAGCATTATTGTGAAGTTTTTTATAAATGTCTCTTCTGTTCACATTTACTTCATCCAAGATCTCAAAAACAGTAAGACTAAATTATATCAGAAAATACTGTTACCAGTAAAAATCATCCCTATCTTGGGAAGCCTGCAAGATTCCAAAGTGATTGGATATGATCATTGCTTTGTATGCAGAAGCACATCATGCTGCCAGAGGGTTCCCTGGAAGTTGACATCTAGATGCAGGGCAACAGAAGAATCCAACTCTAGGATCTTGAGCTGCATTAAGACATGGGCACTAACCAGGCTAGAATACTCAGAGGCTATTTCCAGAGGTGAAGTTTTTCAAAAATGGTCTGAATTAACCGTGTAGCCTTAGGTTTGGAATTCTAGGAAGATCTGGTAGTTGCGTTCTTGACCTTGCTGTTTGAATTCTAGAGTATTATTTAATTGAATTCTAGAGTATATTGTTAACCAAGAAAACTAAAATAAAGGGGCTACAATAGAGAAACCAGTAGTCAGTAATAAATGTAAGGCATCTCATGCTGTGACCAGAAAAAGCATTCTCCCCAAAGCTATAGGGCATGGGAAGGCTCCATGTCCTTATGCATCACAGATGTGGCCAGCGGTGAGTAAACCAGGTTTATCTCTTCTTCTCAGCCATCTTCTTCAACCAATTTCTAAGAGTTCTGAATTATGGATTAAATGGAGACCAAGCTATAGCAAATAATTAGTTCCTTCAAATGCCAATTTTACTGTAAAATAGATACAAATAAAATAATCTACCAACAGAAACCCATGAAAAAATGGTAAATATCTGTAACATCTATTATAGCTGCAAATGTTTTACATGACTTTATCACTGAAATATATGGGACTTATTTGAAATAGAGTCAACAGCTTAAAGGAATGATGACTCACATGCCCCCAAGCATCTAAAAATATACTGTGGAAAAGAATATCATTAAGATGAATAAGCAATCAGTTGTATCCATGGCCTAGCCTGACTACTCTATGCTACATACTAATGTAGCCCTCAGCTAATGAATGACAGATATATGTGACAAGCCCTGTATACTATTCCCCCTGCTCATGTTTATAAAATTACATGCACTATGTTCTACCTTCCTTGCCCTGAACTTCAATTTTTAGAAAATCCTGAGTGTCTGTGTGTTGAAATAAGTGCAACTCTTTGAGTGGTACAGGAAGATATGAGGAAAAGACTAGTTCAGAGGCCTACCTAAAATTCATCAAACACGTGGAGACACTTTGGGGATGTCATTTTTAGTCACAGAACTTTATTTTTAAACTAATTGTAAGTACCCAAAGATTAAAGTTCAAAAACAAAAAGAGAACCTAAACAGCCATAGTTGTCCATATGCTGCTTTTCTAGTGGCCAAAGAGGAATTCTACTAAATGTCATCGAAGGATGTCTCTGGACTAGAAGACAAGTTTAAGGGCCTTGTTGTTGTTTGTGTTGTTGTGATGTGGTTGTTGGCTTTCTTGGAGGAACAAATCTGTGACTTTCCCATTTAATGGGCCTCTAGTCTTAACTATCAAAATATCCCTTTTCCTACAGGAAAAGATTAGTAATAAATACTTACGGTGAATTATTTAATATCCATTACTGTCATCCCAGAGAATCTTTTAAATATAAAAGTGAACTACTTATTGGAATAGTGCTTGTCAGTGGTGACTCAGTAATGACTTATCGAGTGATAAATACTTTAAACTTCACCTCTACTTGTTACTCTCCTGTTTCAGAAAATTATTACTTTGATTAAACCCCACTGGTTACTAGTTTGGCGAATAACTTAGACGGGCTAGCAGGAAAGCCAACTCATAAGGTTTATGACATATGCACTCAGGTATCCTAAAGCCTTATCTGGGCTAGAGATAGGTTACCTAGTTACTTACACAAACTCTACCCCATGGCCTAGCTCTGAAAAATCTGGAAAATCAGGGGAAAAAAAGAGTTTAGTACCCATAACACACTGCATGCCACTCCTTTTGCATCTATTCCTAGCCAGCTATTGGGAAAGACTTTATTTTTTAGCTTTTTTCACTTTTCCTTGATCCTCTACTTTCTTAATGGCAGCTTGGATAGCTTCTTGGTCACCCAGGAATTGGTGAGGCCCAACAGCCTGCAGGTTTTCATCCAGTTCCAGAAGAATGGGGACTCCAGTAGGAAGAGTGATATTGATAATGTCTTCATCTGAGATTCCTGTTGATCCGAAGAGAAAGAGACAAGGTGTCAAAGACAACTCACGAGGAAGTTCTGTTTAATTATTTAACTGAACATTCATTTAATACCGTTTAACTCTGTGCCTGAAAACATGCCAGGTACTGTGAGGGATTCCAGCCACAATTGCTGGAAGCCAAGAACCTTCGAGAAATTTCAAAAAAAAAAAAAAAAAAAAAGGCTTAGAGAGTCATACCAAGCACTAAATCTTAGGACAGGGTCCATTTCTTTTAGGGAGACCTGTTCCTGGCTGTTTTCTATCTAAATTGGAAGGGAACAACAATTATTTTCTCCATGCCTGCATTTATGTATTTTCTTTTCCACAGGAATCATTTAATCTTGAAAAATCAGAAAGTGAACCAGGAACATTTTCTGTGTTTTTCCTTTTATATCTTTTCCTCAGACTGGTACTAAAATTAGGACTTTAATCTCTAAATCTAGTATATTTTATTAGAATATAATTTATTTTCCAACACTGAGTGAGTTTGGAAAACCCTGGGCTAGATCCAGTCAAGCAGAATGCTTTCCTAGATGCTTAGGTAGCAGAGTCAAGGAGAATCAGGAAAAGGTTTTACAGTAAACAGCCCTGATTTATAGGCCTTATAAATGGGCCTCATTCTCCTACTGTCCTTTAACATCCCCAGAGAGGAAGGTATATATAATGGTCAAATCATCTTTAAGCCTTTTGATTATAGGTAATTCAACTTTGACCAGAAGAACTGTAGTTGTAGTAGTAGCAGTGGTAGAATTAAAATTTTCATTATTACAACTACTTTTAACAACAGACAGCTAATATGTCATGCCAGGTACTCTTCTAAGCATTTTATATGCATTAACTCATTTAATCATCATTGCAATCCTATGAGTATGTGAGTTATTATTTCTCCACGTAACAAGTTCTGACAGACAGGTTAAGTAAACAACTCAAGAGCACATAGGTAGTAAATGACAGAGCCTGGATTCAAACTCAAGGGGTCTGTACCTACTGCATAACGTAACACCTCTCAAGTTTCTCTGAGTTCAAAATGAGTAAGGAGAAGGCAAAGAGATGGAGTCAGCAAATTAAAAAGCAACTGAAAGTATTCAAATTATCTACTTTAAAAACATACCTTTATTAATTATGTAGACTTCTAAATTCTAACCATATGTTTCTGTTCTTTAACAGAAAAGACCTAGGTGAAGGAGAGCCAGGGTTTGTCTTTACTTGATGGGGGCACAATAAGTTGTCACCAGTTAGTTATCGATGCACTTTGTCATTCTAATTAGCCATTGGTCCTAACTTTGAGCACCAGCCAAGAGTCACAGAATCATGGCACTGGGTCCTTACCACGGGGGTGGTTCTTTATTACAATTTCATGTCTAGGTGCAGAAGAGCTACCTAGTAACTCTTATACACAAACTATCCACACTCAAACAGCTACAAAACAATGGAAAGTATCCTAACTTGGAAGATGGTGTCTCTTCCAAGTGTGCTGCCCCATCGCTTCTCCCACCCGTCCGACCTCAGTACACTAACTATCTAATTGTAGTGAAGTAACCTCTCTGGACCTCCAATCCCCCTGTCAACTTAAAAAAAGAAACACACATTCTTCCTTTTCCAGTATTGTAAAAGATGCAGAATAGGATTTAAAAGAGAACATACATGAAAAAGCATAGCACAGCCAGTCTTTGTTCTTTCCCTACTAGGAATTCCCTTCTAGGTAAAAGATTTAAAGGGAAAGCTGCAAAGACACTACTTTGCCCTGCCAAGCCCCCACCCCTACACTGAGACCTTACACAAGATTATCATCACAAACTACAGCTGGCAAGAAGAGGTCAATTCAGACCGGGCATCCAGCTGTTTAGTAGGGAGATGACTGCCCTAGATTCTAAGAGCCCTCTGGCTCCATCAGGTCAGAAATGTCGGCTGGCTGTGCAGTAGCTGCCACACGTATCCCTCAGGAAGAGCAGGAGGGGAATTAAATGACATGTTGGTTTGAGCTAGGTGGCCGCTGAGGCTTTAGAAACCAAAAATTCTCACTCCCAACTCCAGGAGAAGCTCTGGAGGTCCCCAAGCCTAAAGGGCTTTTTATATGCATAATACTCTGGGCAAGGACATATATGACCTTGGCCAGGATTTTGCATCCAACGATCTATGTCTTCATTTATAAGATGAGAGAAGATAGTCCCTTCTAGCACCAAAGTTCCTCTATTTTATTCTTAATGGTTAAGAAAAAGTAGAGGCACCTTAGAGGCAAGAGAAACATGGAGACACTGAGTACTGTTTACTGTCGTCTATTGTGAAAGGATTATGTTTTATCTGTTTCCAGTCTGTAAGCACATTGCTCATTGAATTAGAGAGAAAGACGGATTTTATAGATTTCTCCAATTAATCTAAATTTTCATTGTAAAAATTGATTTGTTAGGACATAACTAGTAAAAATGACCATGTTTGACTAAAGTTTACCAGAAGTAAAAACTATGAATGTACATATCTATCAGCATCTTAGAGTCATCACTCATAGACCTGTGGCTTTACAATGTCATCAACTATTAAGGACCCAGGACTTTAATTTAAAATGACTAAACATTCTATTTCTGTTCAACACTGTATTGGAGGTTCTAGCCAGGGCAACTAGGCAAGAAAACAAAATAAAAGGCACCCAGATTGGAAAGGAAGAAGTAAAACTATCTCTACTTACAGATGACGTGATCCTACCAACAAACCATTAGCACTAATAAATGAGTTTAGCAAGGTTGCAGGATACAAGATCAATACAGAAAAATCAATTGTATTTTTTATACAGTAGCAATGAACAAAATGGAAGTGAAATTAAGGAAACAATTCCATTTATGATAAGATCAAAAAGAATAAAATACTAAGAATAAATTTAACAAGAGAAGCATAAAACTTATACTCTGAACACTATAAAACACTGTTCAAATTAAAGAAGTCCTAAATATATGGAAAGATATCCTATGTTTATGGATTGGAAGACTTAATATTATTAAAATGACAATATTCCCTAAATTAACATCGATTCAATACAATTCCTATCAAAAATCTCAGCTGACATTTTTGCAGAAATTGACAAGCTGGTATTAAAAATCATATGGAAATCCAAGGCACTCAGAACAGTCAAAATAATCTTGAAAGCTTCTGATTTCAAACTTACTACAAAGCTACAGTAATAAAGATAGTGTGGTACTTGCATGTGGTATGTGGTACTCACATAAGGATAGACCTAGATCAACGGGATAGAATTGAGAGTCCAAAACAAACTCTCACATTTTTGATCAATTGATTTCCAACAAGTGTGCCAAGATAATTAAATGTAGAAATAATAGTCTTTTCAACAAACAGTTCTGGGATAATTGCATATCCACATGCAAAAGAATTAAGCTGGACCCCTACACTTCGTATCTTAAATAAAAATTCACTCAAAATGGATCAAAGATGTAAGAGCTAAAACTATAAAAGTCCTATAAGAAAACATAGGAATAAAGTCTTTATGGCCTTGAATTTGACAGTGGTTTCTTAAATACGACACCAAAAACATAAGCCATAAAAGAGAAAATAAACTGGGCATATAAAAATTTAAAATGTTTGTGTTTCAAAGAAAACCACTGAGAACATGAAAAGACAACCCAGAGA